CGACGGGGAATAGATTTACAACTGCCATTTGATTTGATAATGTCAAAGTTATTTATGTCATCCATCGTCTTTTATATATTTTTGTGTCTTTTTTTTTTTTTTTTTTTTTTCTTACAAAGGATATCTATAGATTTTTGTTGGTTCAAGTTTCAAACGGGAAAAAAGTTTTAATAATAATTAACTCTAACTGGTTAATAGAACTTGATAAAAAGAGGAAAAAGAGAGAATATTTTATTAAAAACTGAATGATTGACTCTTAAAGAATTCATGAGTTCTATTAATTTAAGTAACTTAATTTCTTTTAACCTAATGATATTTGTAAAAATATTATACTCTTTGATTTTAATTTTTTAACCTATCGACATATTTAAGAAAACATTTTCAACACAATCTAAATTTAAATTTTCATAATTTCCATCTTTTCCATGTTTTAAAATACAACGTATCGAATGTTCCGTTTTCAAACATCAAACAATGGAAGATTATAAAAAAAAATAGAAAAGAATCAAAAATCCATATATATATATGGGATTTCTAACAATCCTCGTTCCTTCAATCGCTCGTCTAATTTAAAAACAAAACAACGAGAAGGTAACGACGTTCTTTGCTGACAAATATCACGAAAAAGAAGAAACAAGCACAACGCGGATCAAAAATAGACGTCTCGCGACGAAGGCGAAACAAGCACGCGTGGAATTTATTTGAAGAGAAGCGCGTGTTTGCGCGCGTGCAAAGTGCACGTGTGCGCAAGCGCACGATCCCGCGATTGCGCGTGCGTGCGTGCATGCATAGGGACGTTCGATTGCGCATGCGCGGTGTCCGTACGCACACCGCGGCGAAAACTGAACCGACCGACCGACAGAAAATCTTGTGAATGAGTTGCTTCTCCATTCACTTTTAACCGGACTCGCTGGAATGCGCACACGACACTATGTTGCGCTCTGCTGGAGGTAGACGAACACGTTTTTAGATCAATTCGTGTACTTTTATCGACAGCCTGACACGAAAAACTTTTGACAAATCTTTTGTATTCGTAGTAGAGTGAAAATCAATGTACAAACGTGCCACCACCCCTTTAAATGTGATATAACGCTATTAAATTTAACGAAACAGTTCCATGTATGTAATATGTACATGTTATGTAATAAGAATCTTTCTAACTTATTCATATACGTTTTCCTATCATCTTTTGTCTATATTCTTTCATCGAAGTGTTTACAATCGATTTTTCACATGGATCTATATATACCATATACGAATATAAGATTATATATGATTAATATCATTATAATCGATAAACAAAATTATCATTCGATAGTGTACACGATTACAATTTTATCGAAGAAAAATATACCTTTAATTTAATAATATTATAATATCTAATTATTTATTGAAACTTTCACAAATTTTTAAATATTAATACCATAAATTTTGAAATTTACTAAATTTATTTAATATTCTTGATAAAATTTAATGACACGTACAACTGGTAAATTAATTTAAAAAAAAGAAAATATTCTCTACATTTACCAAACAGATAAACAATTCCTTATCTAATAACATCACAATATCTACTCTATACATTATTTACTTAAAATCAAAATAAAAGAAAACGTCTCTAATCGAGATTATATATATACATATATATATATATACATGTATATCACGATATATCGCAACTACGCAATAAATTATTTTTATTACGTTAGAAAAATACGTTTGATTTCTCATCACTGTGCGTTTACCAACAACGCAACTTTCCCTCTGGCCGCGCAAATATTTCCATCGCCATTGTTTACGCGCACACGATTGCCTACTAGTTTTCTTAACCGCCTTATTTGCATTCCCGGAACCTGTGTATCAAGACATAATATGCAAATGTCCCGTCCCTGTGTCTCTCTCTCTATCGGCCATCTCCCGTTACAGAGCATCCATCTTCGTAAAGACGTCTACTTACTTTGCCCACCCGGCGCCTCCTTTCTTCTTATTACCGCTATTTATTATAATTTTCGCTCTCCGTTTTCATTCCATTAATCTCTTCCGCTTTCTCTATTGTGCCCGTAATCCGACGCGAATCCTTCTACGTTATTGTTCCCTATGTTAGCCGTCGAATGAAATTCAACTTTTATCGATAAAATTTAATAGTTCTTTAAAAATAATTTCAAAAAAAAAATTAAGACAGAAATAATCTGAATCTTCAAAAAAAAAAAAAACTATAATAAAAAAAAAATAAAATAAATGAAGAAAAAAATAAAATAAATGAAGATAAAATGAAATAAAATAAAATGAAATAAAATGAAACAAAATGAAATAAAAGAATAAAATAAAATAAATGAAGAAAAAAATAAAATAAATGAAGAAAAATATGTATAATCTTTTGAGAATTATTAAATTTTCCCCGAAAATGTTAAAAGTTTCAAAATTCACGATTTTCCCTTCTTAAGAATATGTTCCAATCATCGTTAAACATTTTGCAAATTATTCCTCGATTGTTCATCATTCGTTTAGAATCACGTTTTTACACAGGGTTAACCAGCTTTCGAAAGATCCTCGTCGTTCCCCGATTATCGCAAAAGTGCATCTGGCCAAGTATATTCGAGAGTATATCGAATTATCGGTCAAGTATCTCTCACGTTTTGTTCGCGCAACAAGAACCTTTGTCCTCTTCATCTTGATTTACAAAACGCATAGAACAACTTCGAGAATTCAAAGTTGGCGTTTCAAATTGAAAATAAATCTAATCGTCGTCGCTTCGCTCATCATCATTGGACGACGAGTTGAACAATTATAGAGGATGGAATGCGTATAATGATATCGAAGAATTGAAGATAACCTCATAAATGAATTGTCTTTTCATTGGATGTAATCTACTATTCACGATGCTATGGAATAACCATCTTTTTACGAAGCAGTGACACATGCATGTTTATGTATCTTTTGTTTAAAGATATGCAAGCACACGATAATTACATACGGGTATGTAATTTTTCTTAGAGCTTTTCAAATTATCTTTTAATATTATTTTCAATGTTAAATATATATGATAACATTTAAGCCCGATAATATTCACGAGTATATTGCGTTTTCATGTATAAGTAGGATAATTAAATTCGTCCCTGAAGAAGAAATTAAGAAATAATATTAAAGATGTGTTTTACACAACTTGACTCCCTTTATTTTCTTTTTTTCTTTTTTTTTATTTACGATTTAAATATGTGATATGTATAATAGAAGAATTTTTATAGACCAAATTTTAAAATAATAATAAAAATTTGCAAAAAGTATGAAACACATGGGAAGAAACTTGAAAAATGTAAATTTTAATTTAATCTTTCCTTGCATTATCTATTTATGAAGAAGAAGAATGGTTGGTAAAAAAAAAAAAAACAACACGAATAAATTACAAAATAAGTAAACATGGATCAATTTCCAAGAAAAAAATAACGATTATAAAACCTTGACAAAGATAAATTATCCCATAATAGATAGATATAGATGGTTTACAATGAAACACAAGCACTAGATCGCATTATCGATACAATGTATCGCACCCGGAGACAAAGCATACGACGACTCTATGCGAGAATCCACGATTTATCTATCCCAGCTGCAAAGATCATCGCTGCATCGTTGCAAAGAAGTGTCATTACGCGCGGGATTTATTTGTTCGCCTAGCCATACATTGATACGTTAATCGCCTCATTTGCCTTTTAAGCGTGTTTTTAAACGCACTAAGGACAGGTGAGTCAGCGTCGCGCTCTTGGAAAATTTATTAAGACTTTTAAGGTAAAGCAACTTAAAAATAGACGTCAATAACAATTTTTCAAAGGATATGTAACGTTAACCAACATAAATCGCTATTATAGTGATTATTCGGAATGCTAAATAATTTTGTTCTTATTATTATTATTTTTTTTTCTTTGTGAATTATTTCCTCGTTAATTATTGCATTTTTAATCCCTATTTATTGTTCGAGTTCAAATAAGTGTTCGTTTTCGAAAGAAATATTGCAACGTGTATTATGTATCGATAACGTAGAGATTTTGATATTATCCTCAAAAAATAATCGGATAATTAACCAATTGTATTTAAACAGAATGAAAAATAATATTAATAACGATATTGAAGAAAATAGTGGAATATCAACTATAATAAATAATGTAGTAAAATAAAATAAAGAAACGATTTTGAAATAATTTTCAATTTAAATATCCGCGATTAGATTAAGACCATGCTTTTCAAATCTTCTCTTAATCTTATTTTGGACGATCGAAAATTTGAACTAATTTGAGGCTACTATTAAAAAGAAAGTTTGCGTTTCTGATTAAGAAAAATTATCTCTGCTTGTTAAAACAAGCAACGCTCAATTGATTGTTTGACGAGCAATCACGAATAACCACAAAGACAAACATTTGCCGCGCTAAATCAATAAAAACATTGTTTGACAGAGACATCTTCGCGGCTTTTTCGATGGTCACGTTAAAAAGATCGCGTGTATATTATACGTATGTGTATTTAAAAGCATAAACTTCTTATCGTGCATTTTTTCTTGCGGCTTCCGAGATAATTGAAAAATCGCTGACCTGTCTCTGACATTATGAAATCACGCTTGATCTACCAAAATTTTGATAATCTACGTATATATACAATTATATCCAATTACATTCAAAAAATTATATTACATTATCACTAGGATAAAATCGAAAAAAATCTTTAATTTCATTTCTATATCGATTATCTAACAACTATAAATTCATAAAATAATCGAAAGCGATGTACGAATCGTTCTCATATTTGATTTTGATCATATTGAAAATCGTCATTAATAATATTGTTCAACGACCGATTACCGATTAATTAAATGCAGGATAAAATCAAATGCATCGATCGACTGTTACGCGTCAAACGTTCGAAAATCGAGTAAAAAACGCGGGACAAAAAACTAAAGCGCAATAACAGTTCAAATAAATCAATATACATTTGATATTTTCTTCACTCACCTCTCTCACGTGCCTTAAAGAAAAACCTTCTTCACGTATCCCTGACAGGCACACGCAACGACGAGTGTCGCATCGACGAACGATTTAATCTTAAAATCGTTTCGATCTGTGGCGCACAAGACTGTCAGTTTTCATCAGACGACAATACGTATCGTCTCGTTGTCGCGTGTTACACGATCGATTCACCGGACATTTGCGGACTGACAGTTCTCACTTCGATACGGTACGATGTCACCGAAACAAAAGCTCGATAAATATGGGATAGAGGATGAAACGTCCGCTTCACGCAGTATTTATGCAATTTTTTGTCGCGTCACGACGATTGTTTTCAATGCACGGTACCGTTCATACCTTTAGGGGTGCACTTATGCCCCATACTCACGCGTCGCGTCCCAACAAGAGACTAAAGCGCCTAGTTACAGTCCACCCGTATAAATGCTCCGTTGCAAACTACGAGACTGTGGTCGTTCGTTCACGAATTTGGAAAGGAATAGCGTCGCATGGCGAAAGGAATAGGCTATAATACAATAAACTAACGAATATATCATTCTCTACCATATCGACAGCTCTATCGCTATCTACTTAAACAATAATTCTAATGTTATCTATTTTATCGATGATTCTATCATTGCCTATTTTATCGACGATACTATTATTGTCTATTTTATCGACGACTCTATTAAATATTTTATATATAAATTAAAATACAATAGATATTAAAAATAATATTTGAAAATAATTTTGAAAGGAAAATATAGGCACCTTTCTTAGCATATACATCAATAATAATGATTTCCAAATTAATTCGATCAATTGAGAACTATATAATTTTTTTAAAAATTTCCCAATTAACAAGAAAAAGATAAAAAAAAAACCAAGACAATTATCTCAATATATAACATTTGCACAATTCCAATTGTGCGACTAATTTCAGAAATAGAAATAAATTTTTTAACCATACGCATTAACATTACCGAATTTACAGCATTTATTTTGTAAATGGATGCCCTATTGATACTGAAATCGATCCCTGTAACTATCGTCGTCATTAATTCAACAGTAATTCCTTGATCAAACAATAAATATGAAGAAAGAAGAAAAGAGTTATTTTAATACATATGTATTAATATTTGTATTTATTACATATTTATGAAATATAATTTTGGAGAGTCAAAAAAATTTTTATATAAAAAAATCAAATAATGAATTATCAAATAAAGAAATGAAATTTGCGTTAAATGAAAAAATAAGATGAAGATATAATGAGACTTGTTTCATCCAACAGAAATCAAAACTGTCTTTTGAAATATATTTTGAATAATATAAATTTTGGAAAGCAATTAAAAAAAAACCCAAAACAAATATGAGAAATCAATTCCACAACTAGAGTGAAATAGATAACACAAAACAAACAGTACAAAATCTAACAAGGAAAGAAATGATTGCCAGTGCCATCTCTTGACAATTGAAGAAAACATGTTTTAAAAACAGATATAAAGAAGGCTAAAAATTCAGAATCAGTGCCATCTCGTGAGTATAAATTCATAGACACAAATATTTTTTTAAAAATGTTCAAGAGATGGCTGTAAAAGCAATTCTTATCTATATCTATTTTATTTATGAGTAATTTCATATAAATATTATTCTTTTATCAAATTATTCATAATATGAATAAAACAATATGAATAAAAATTTTTCCTAAATAATTAATTACATTGCAAATAAAACCTTGCAAGTTAAAGAAGAAGTTAGAGGAATTGTGTCATTGCACACACAAAGAAATTAAATAAATTAGATTCAATCAGTGCTTCATGTGAACAAGTTAATAAATGATATTTCATGATATTTAAAAATTAAAATGAAGACTAATATCTCAAAATATCTAAATAATTAAAAACTAATCGCGTGCGCAGCCAATCAGCTCATATTATTGGCTA